GTGACCATTCAGTGTACACATGTGCATGTGGTATAATCTTTTGTGTTTATTTATATATATATGTATGATTGGAATATGTCATACTTATATGGACACTACATAAAGTCGTCCAAGGATGCTCTATACATAACAAGAATCAATTACCCAGACAACAATTGAAAAAAATAAAGAAGTTGATCAAATGTTAAGAGTACATTATATGACCCGAATCTATAATTATTGACCTGTGAAGCATCATTGGAAGAACTGGTGTAACCATTAATTTCAATGATGCCGATGAAAAAGTATTTTCAATTGATGTAACCAATATTTTCACTGATGGTGTTAAATGGTGTTTTCAATTGCAACATTCAAATATTCAGCAGATAGTGGATTTTTCCCTAAAGAGTTAAAAGAAATAGGTAATCTCACACTACATTTGAAGTAAAACAAAGCTTGACTCTGTATTTTGGGTGATTTAGTGAATAATAATTTTGGTTGGATCCAACTGAAATATTATTGAGTGGGTGAATAATTTATGAAAAAATGAAATGGCGTACCCAATGTTCTATTTGATTTTGTTGTGATATGTTTAATCACGCAGATAAAATATATCATAAACATACAGTTATTCAGTGAATACTTATTAACATTTATATTTTGTTACACGTTATTGTTTCTTTGTTAAATATCGCGCAAAGCTACTCGAGGGATACCTGCGCAAACCATCCTTGATTTAGAAGTAATAGAATAGAGGAAAGGCAGCTAGTCAACACCAACACTTGGGCTACTAGTTTATCAACAGAAAGTGAGACTGAATGTGAAACTATAGCTCTCCCATGGTTGATAAAACGAGCATGTTCGGTCACGGGATTCGCAGATTGCGAGTTGAGCACTCTAACCACCAGGATATTCCCTGCCTTCACGGTGTGGTTAGAACATACGTTAGTTAGAACTTTGAGTGTATGGTCTTAATCAGAAAGAAACACCTATGCAAAATTGCTTTGTAATTGTTTCAAGGTGTATTTAGCTCGAGTCATAGGGAAGTAATATGTTTATGCTAATTGAATCCAATAGTAATACACTGTTGATCTGAACTCAGTTATAGTGCCAACTCCAGAATTCTGAAAGTGGTGAAGTGAAAGGGTGGCAGATAGATGAGCTTGGGGGGCTAACCAAAGATTGGATAATGTTTTGTTGGGCGGGTTTTCCTTGTTTAGGGTTGCCTACTGAAGACATGGTACTCTGGGAGAGTAGTTTTTAATAAACTTTTCTAGTGAAAATTTTACGTGAAGCAGACAAATTTCAGGGGTGTTACGCGCCATCTCTTGGCGTCGTTATTTTTCAGTTATTTGTATAGGAGCCTGTGTTTACAGTTTCTCTTCCTTCCTTTCCTATTGAATCAGGAATGTGTATCTATAACAACCAGACACTGGTGGAAGGCTCGTGTTCTTGTGAGAAACAGCTGTATTACTTGTAGTCGTTTGGTAACGAAACAGTGGGCAGAAAAGTTATGTACTGGTCAAGCATATACCACAAGTGAAGCCTAAGGGATTGTTGTGTTCACAGGTGCTTGAAGAACATCTTCCACAGGAAATAAACACGTGGCTACACCTATGACGATAGAGATGTTGCAGAGCAATAGTTTAACATTTAAGTTTAAAATCAATGGCTGTAACAGATTTTAGTTGTAACCGAGCTGTTACAACTTTAAAAGCTACACCTCTAACGAAATTTCTAAATAATCAAACTCCAGATTGATCAAACTCAAATTCAAATTTTAGACCCTTCTGACTATATATTGTTCAACTAGCCAAAAATTTTGCTTTTCATTTGTTTGCCTGATAATCCCTACTTCTGTACTATGCAAGAGAATGTTTTGTTTCGTGATTTCGAAAGTTAATCAAAAGTACACAAAACCCCTGAAGCAAGCGTGACCACTGTTGACATTGAATTTATGTTTTAGGACCCTTTGCTGGCTGAGTTCTTTTAGCTCGTTCAGATCTCATTAATGAATTAATCGTAGAAGTTTAGAAGCCCGAAGCACCTACTGCAACTACTACCTCATTATCTGGTCTTATAGTATTGGTATAAATGCAGAAAACAAATCTATCCGCCATCTGCAAGTATCCCAGAATCAAGTTTGTACAGCCAATACAACCGTCCACCACCACATTAAAAATCAAGAAGAAAGCCGCAAAGCAGAAGAAATTCATAGTTACATTCCGTAGTTCCATCTTATTAAGTTGTGGTAAAACCCAAAAGCATCAAAACAACTTGCCTGCGCACGTTCAGTGAAACTCTTAACATCCAAAACCTAAGAAGACTTTAGTATAGGCAAAATCCTGGTAGTTACCAAAAGAGAATGAAAAATATTTCAAACTTACATTTCTACACAGTATAAAGGAATCTAAATTGTATGAAATGTATATGTCGACTTTTTAGCCGCGGCATAGTGGCTGATAGAACGGCTCTGAGTTTTTTCAATTACAAACTTTAGCTCATATCTCCATTTCTTCACTGATTTGAGATCTAGTTACAGCCGTGGCCATTGAGGATTCCCTCTTATTTTAGAATTTTTCTGACCGTCCCAAAGCAATTTATATTTGCTAAGAAACTATTATTCATTGTTTGTTTGTTTTTTACCACGGGATTTTTCTTCTCTGATGCTATTAGGACAACCTTTCTTTTATAAACTCACAGTATGTGATGTGAACAACTAATAATGAAGTACAGGTTTGAAAATAGCTACAGGCAATTTTTAATTATAGTTAGATAGAACAGAATATAAATTATTTAAGTTAATGAATAATGAATAAAGTGGCATGAGAAGTAATTTATAGTGTCATGGGAAAGAGACGAAACTTAGCCTCTGTAGAGCTCTGGATTTCAGAGCTGATGAGCCGAGTTTGAACCCGCGCGATACCACAAAATATTCTCCGCACTTTAAACTTTGGGAGTATTATAAAAGTAACAGTTAATCCCTGTGAACAACTAATAATGAAGTACAGGTTTGAAAATAGGTACAGGAAATTTTTAATTATAGTTAGATAGAACAGATTATAAATTATTTAAGTTTGTTTTTTTCCCACGTGATTTTTCTTCTCCGATGCTATTAGGACAACCTTTCTTTTATAAACTCACGTTTTGGAACATGTCCTAAAATCTAACAACTGATAACAGTAAAATACTTATTACTTTTCGAGTATGATAGTTATGGTGTATATAAATTGTTCGGGTTTCTTCATCTAAATAAAAGCGACATTAATTTCTTGACGACTCAATACATATACTATTATTTCTCTAATACTTACAGGTATAGGTAAGAAGATATATTATATATATTCCAATGATTTTAATAGTTCACACGTTGATTTACACTTACTGTTCATTTACCATTGTTGGTTCCGTTTGTTTCAATAATTTGAATTCGAGAATATTTGATATTATTTTTAATACGATATGAGCCTTTCAGGCACATGTATCAATGATAGCGGTGTTCCAATTTAGTTTCAGCTAGATTAGTGAACTTGTAGGTTTTTACTTATGGGGTTTTTGTGTCCTTTTTAACTCACCATATACACCATAACGATCATGCTTAAAAAGTAATAAGTATTGTTACGACAGCGGAAGTCACGTGACTCTAGTAACACGTCATGAGATTCTAGAAGGATTGGGGAACATCACGAATAATCCAGTATTTGCTAGGCGTCCTCTATTTTGTATATATAAGACCGGCAAGAAGTGACGATATAGATAATTGAATAGCAGACAGGGAGACAGATAATCGAGTCAAGCCCGAAGTAAAGTGTATAAATCGTTGTGAATTATAGCGTGTGTTTAAGTTAAAGTGACTGTGGAAATTAAGTGTATTGCAAAGTTGAATTGAGAAAGAATAAACTAGTTTTATTTAAGAAAGGACTTGTGTTGCTAAAGTTTCATCCGAAAAAAATTATACGGGAAATTAACAAACGACCACAGACGTAACAGTATTTTACTGTTATCAGTTGTTAGATTTTAGGACATGTGAAGGCTATTACCCTTCAGTGACTATGTGATACTACTGTGTTGTAGCAAACCGTTTCCCGCCGAATACTGACTGAAACAGATACGATTTCCGCTGAAATACTGAAACAT